TTGATACTGGATGTGTAATTGTTGTATATGTTGTTGATAACTCTGTGTCGAAAAGCTATACGCTATATTCTTGGCCTAGAGCAGTACAACGTCGTTTCTAATCTTGATGACAGGATACTTGACTTGGTGTTGTCAACCGTTGAGTGTTCTGTTAGCAGAGAGCCCATCCCGATAGTTAGGGAGGACCAGTATCACCCAACGCTCAACATCACCTTCTCATTGAGTAAAAGCGAGAAGTGCAACTTTCCAGTTAACGCAGAAGTGTCTAGATACAACTTCGGAAAGCAAATTTTCTATTGCTTTATGACACAATTCTTAACACTGACTGGTCAGTACTGTATGGCATAGATGAGGTTAACCTAGTCTGTGACAGGTTCTATCAGATATTATACACTATATTTGACACCTGTGTCCCGAGGGCAGTTATCCATCGGAGAAATTATCCGGTCTGGTTTACTTCAGATATTATCTTAAATATCAAAGGAAAACACCGAATTTTTAAGAAGCTGAGAAAAAGTGACTCACAACATCTTAAAGCGCAATACATTACTTTACGTGCGTAAATGAAATTTATGATTGCCACATCCTACAAAAACTATGTGGCTAAGGTAGAAAATTCAATTGCTGCTGATCCCCAGACATTCTGGTCCTTTGTTAATGCAAAGCGCTCCTCGACGCCGTTGCCTGAGGTTATGTCCAATGAGGCTGTGCAATACTCGGACCCACAGGATATTGTTAACGCATTTGCCACATTTTTTGGAGATGTCTATATGGCACCAACCACTGAGAATATCTCTGTGAACAAAACAAACCTCAATTCCAGTATTAGCATAAACTATCTCTCGGATGAAGCTATTTTAAGAGCAGCAAAGAAGTTAAAAAATAAGGCTACCCAGGGACCGGATAGAGTACCATCCTTTATTGCCAGAGATTGTATTAATGCTTTCCTTAGACCTATCGCTTACATATATAACCTCTGTCTCAAGTCAAGCATGGAAGTATGGAAAGAAGCGAGAATAACTCCTGTATTCAAGAGGGGCTGTGTAAACAATATTACTAATTACAGACCCATTTCCATCCTATCGGTCTTCGCTAAGATTTTTGAGTCTTCTGTGTACAAGTGGATCTATGGACAAGTGAAGCATATTATTACCCAAAAACAACACGGATTTTTTACCAATAGAAGTATATTGGAGAGGCCCTAGACAATAAATCTCAAGTTGATGTACTATACACAGATTTTTCTAAAGCATTCCTGAAGAAGATTGGGGCAATGGGATTCAGCAATAAACTGGTAGACTTTTTTACATATCTACAGGATAGATATCAGTATGTGGAAATTCGTGGACACCGTTCTAGCCACAAGCGGAGTACCTCAGGGCAGTAATCTGGCTCCACTGATCTTCCTATTATTCGTTAACGACATAGCCGACTACATAACTAACTGCGCCCTATTGTTTACCGATGACCTGAAGCTGTTTAGGATTGTGGTGGGCATTGCCGACTGTGCAGCATTGCTGAGGGACCTGGAGTCGTTGAATAACTGGTGTGTGGCAAACAATCTTCATCTCAATGCGGATAAGTGTTCTGTGATGACGTTTTGTAACAGACAGCGCCCAATAGTTTTTAACTACAACCTGGAAACTACTCCAATTACCAGATGCACCTCTTTCAAAGACCTTGGCATTTTGTACGACACTAAACTGTCCTTTGCCTCTCATATTGAAACCATTTGCAAAGATGCAACAAGATCAATGGGCTTTATATTTCGTAACGCTAACATTCAGGAACATTCAGGCTCTCAAAGCATTGTTTTTTGCTATTTCAGATCCAAGCTTGAGTACTGTGCAACAATCTGGTTCCCCATTCACGCTAAATATATAGACCAATTGGAGGGTATGCAGAGAAAGTTCGTTAAATTTCTGGTATTTAAAGCTGACGGAGTGTTTCCAGCGCGGGATACTGAACATTCATTACTTTTGGAAAGATTTGAACTCCCGTTTTTAAAATGGCGACGAAACTATCTAGCCGTTATCTTCCTCTGCAAAATTGTTCTATCCAGGATTGACTGCTCGGAGTTCTTAATGCAATTACCTCTCTATGTTCCTCAAAAATCTGTCCGCAGTTCGCCGATTTTCCACCTGCCTACCCCATCTACAAATTTCCTTATAAAAACTATGCTATGTATCTTTTCAATGACCGTTGTAGTGATATTGACATTTTCAACCTCTCCTATCATCAGTTATCAAACATTCTCAAAATAAAATTTTTTGTTTAGGCAATTGATATTGTATCACGCATAGGCACTAAGGTACGAGTACAAGTGTGAGCTCTTTAATTTGTTTGTACATTTTGCTTATTGTATTTAAATGATGTATCATATGCTTGTCAGATTGTCTTGTAAATGGATGTAGAATCTGTTAGACAATAAATGATTATTATTATTATTATTATTATTATTATTATTATTATTAATAAATATATCAAAGTTATAATATAACTTTTTGGGCCAGTATGATTAACGCATGTGCCGAGTTTGAATAAATTTTAATAATCCAGTCTTCGGTTATTAAATTAAATTTCATGGCAAAATTGCAAAAGGTTAATTCAATGAACAACAGCGAATATTTCCCATGAAATGAAAACTTGACATATCAATTGAAGGTTGGTTTACAATAAAGACATGCACATTTGCACATTTAAAATGAACTAAGTATGTAAATACATCATTACGTTTTTCTTAGAATCAAGCTCATTCTCGGTTCTTGAGACCTCCTAGTCGCTTAAAGCGTTCTTGGAATGAATTTCATATAAAGAGAGGTTTAAGCAACAACTAAGCTTCAGGAAACGATAACACTTTTCAATTGATCCCACAGAAAGAAGTCCTTCGGAGAGAGGTCAGGTTCGGCACCTTGGCCAATAATATTCATTCATTTTAAAAGTATCTCCCAAATACTCCCTAACCGTACGGGAATTATAGGCTAGTACCAGATCCCCTGATCCTCTCGAACAACTTCTTCTAGTGCGGGTTCAATATGATGTCCATAAATTCCCACCATAACATTTAATTTTTGAGGATATAAGCTTCGAATATAAACAAAACGATATTCATTGTTGTGGCTCCAATATCGACAGTTTCGAACATTTGAGTCGTTGTTGAAAGTGAAATAAATATTTTTAAAAAATCCCTATTATTATTTGCTTTTTCCATCATTTCAGAACAAACTGCTGCTCTTCTTTCTGCATCGAATTCCGGGAGCTCTGGGTGCTTTTCGTATTTATTCCTTCACATGCAGTAAATTGTAATAACATATAATAGCGCATATTTAGCTTTAATTAAAGAGCGTTTGATAACGTATAACCATCACAAATAAAAATATTATTACTGGTGTTTGATTTATTTCCTAAACTATAAAAAAATAATAATTTTGCCTTCATATTTAATTCAATAACTGAAGATTGGCTTATTAAAATTTATTCAAACTCGGCACATAAGTTAATCATACCGGCTCCTTCAAAAAGTTATGTTACAACTTTGCTATAAAATGTACAAGGGAGTCAATATTTGTACACCTAAAAATTTGCGTGGGATTTGAGGTGTTAAAAAATTCATTTATTTTAAAAATTACTTTTCCTGCCTTATAGGAGAACATGTCACAGCAGAATGGCTTGGCAAAAATTTATATTAAAAAGGTTGAAACTTTGTTAGAAAAAATGCAGTATTTCAACCCGGATAGACGACTGACATTTTTTCATCCAATCCAGTATTTTGGAACGTGACTTGGATATTTAATGGAATAGGGTCCAGAAAAAGTTGGAAAGACGATTCTCTACTAACAGTTCGGAAAAATATAATTTTTCATGCTGGCTCCAAAAATGGCTTTGTAAAGTATGTCAGTCTCATTTTTAAATCTGGCTGCAAATAGGGGGACTGCCATGATTTAATGAACGCTGAAAATGTTGATAGATGATTTTTTTATGGGAAAAGTAGACATTTTTCTAACCTATGAACGGAGATAAAAGTTTTAGTTTTATACCCACGGAAACTCTCATGTCATCAATATTGATATGATTTGGGAGAAAACAATTTATGGATTTTTTTTTAAATGACGGTTTAATCAACAGCTGTTACACAATCTTAGCGAACCTTCATTATTAATAATGTTCAATTCATCGTATCACTGTGAACTTGCTGAGGCAATACCTAATCAAAGTTGGGTCAAGCAGTCTCTCGTCGAATGGCTACAAAAAAAGGAATGTTCCATTTTAGCCAAGCTAAATGAAAGACCAATGTTAGTCAAACAACACACGCCAGAAATATGTAATTTTTAAATAATTTTCTTTGAATATGAAATTAATTTCAAAATTAGTCTTTTAAGAATGGACAAGTTGGCATTGGAAAATGGCCATCGCATTTTGCGGCTTCCGCCTTATAATTGCCAATTTAATTTAATAGTTTGATCAGATTGTAAACGGTATTATGATGCCAAAAAAGGTTCCATCTTTCCCCTAAAATCTGATGCTGTACTGCGTTTATGAACTGAAGCACTTGCTCAAGTAAAATAATAATAATATTTCTGATGAAGCATTGGGAGTTTTCAAAAATTAACCTATCTAATTGATATTTGTTTTCTCCCATATATTTGATGCGTTTTATTTTGGTCGTCTAAATACGCTGATTAAAGGCTGGTAAAGCGTCTTAGAGGCAGTCGTGAGTGGCGATCTCTCGATTGCAATAAATCTCTAGGAATTGCCCACTGATCCCCAACATTAGTTGGGAGCTCTAGAAATGGAGCTCAGCTATACCAGCAAATCCTTCTCTCACGTCCCCGAAGGTGGAAAATATCTCCAAAAACATCCGATTGCTCCCAAACCCGTGCGGTAAATTCCCGGAAATGCCCGAAAGTGGCTCGGATTCGTGGGAAACGAAACTGACGTGGTAAAGTGACGCTTCCCGCACGCTAGATCGGTGGGTAATTAGGTACTTTACAGACGGGAGTAGGAAAACGTTTTTTATTCGGTAACAATTATTATTTATTATAATGCAGAACAACCCAAATTACGAAGCCAGCCTCCCGAACCCGTAGTATTGGATTCCAAAAAAGTGATTGTAACATTCTGTAAATAAAACGTAGACAATGGGCAGGCAGGGCTTTGGATTACGAAAAATTTTATCGCACCCTACGTTGGTTACAGTGGTACGTAGCAACGCGAAATTGCTTGACAAATATTTTGAACCTTTTAATTTTAACCTTCATAGGGGTGCGATAAGAATTTGCGTCACCTCAATAACTTACGTTTGCAATATATTTCGCCGCATCCCTCGAAAACATTCTTGACGTCCAACAACTTGTTACAACAAAAGCAGGAGAAGCAGGATGTGTGGAAAGCGCCGCAGGATACCAACACCTTTTCTGCTGCGTATACCTCGAAACCATGGCAAATTTTTCAATTTAAGGGATTATATTATATTATATTATTGAAAAGAACACTTGATTGTTAGGAATGCACAATTATATTGACCACTTAATATATGGTGACATGATGGTGATAAAACAAACGGAAACCTTTAAAAAATTCTCCACTAAAGAGGGAAAAAAACCTTTGTAAAAATATTTATTTTTTCGGAAAAACTTTTTTTTAATCGAAAAATATCAATTTTAAACAATATGGCTTCATACCTGAATCTAAAACCATCTGACTACCAAATTTTTAAACACTAAACTAACTGCTTTAAGTGTAAAAATGGATGTGAGTGTTAGTGTTGTTAACTTTTTAAAACATAGCAAATTTTCTATATCTTTAGAAAATAAACATTTTAATTAATTAATTAATTCAATCTGAGTTAATAACAGAAAAGCATTAACACGCGTAATTATGTTTAAAACTACCGTTAAAATGCCGGTGAGGAAGTATGTTTTAAGAGTGTGTGTGAGTAGTAAGAATTAATTTGTGACCTACAAGAACGCTGTACCGCTATTTTGATCTAAATCTCATTCAATATAATGTTATCAATGGAGTCCAATCTAGAAGGAACTGGAAGTTTTCCTAATCGGTGTAGAGAAAATAGGAAGTAAACGTTAAACCGGAGATGTTATTCCATACGATAGCGGAATGATTGAATAGTGAAGCTGTGACTTGTTGAAAACTATTTAATGTATACTTTTTTGAAAACAGTGAATTCTGGAGTGGGTAAGTGATTTCGTCAAAAGATAATGTTGCACTGGCGACCTAATTGTGTTACCTAAAATGTTTTACGGTTTGTGTATATAGTATTAGTGAAGTTTGTACTTGGGTTTGTACCAAAAATCATATTTGGATGTTTTAAACATGAAATCGCAGCGTCTAGTAGTTACACTTGCTCGGAGGTTGGATTTGATACTAAGGGAAACAACATCTCGTGCAACTCAGGGCAGGAGAATAGCTTCTTGTTTAGATGGAATCCTTTGAGCCTTTAATTAAAAATTCTTTTGTACTGAAGTGGCTTTTACTTGATGAAAATGTAGAAAAATACAATTTCGACGACAATTTCGATATTTTACACACTGTTTCAAAAAGTAGAAAATTAAATTTACTAGAAGCAATGGAGATTAACAAGATGAGAGGTTCGAATGTATTACTTAATGACCAACTGGATTTGAATGGATCCCCCTTGTTAAATATCACATTAAGTAATTACTGTTTTGTATTTATAAACATCGGTACCGTTTGAAATTCGCATTTGATAAAGGCACGGTGTTGCCGAAACAGCTGTCATTTAAATATATTTATGTGAAAATCTGAACAACGTTTGTTCTTATTTAACTATTAAAAATTCTCTATTGCATGGGACAGAGACATGGAGAATTACAGAGAACAACAAAAGGAAATTGGATGCCGGTCGCTGGGAACATCCAGAAAAAGTTTGAGTACGTATGGGAGTAGAAAGATCACTAATGATAGACATATCACCAAACCGCACAAAACGAGGACGACCGAGAAAAACTTGGAAGGAGGGAGTTTCAAGGGCAATGAGTTCAAGAGACTTGAGAGAAGGTCAATGAGATGATAAAAAAGTTGTAAAGATTGTTAGGATGCACAATTTAAAATTATTTTAAAGAGTGGTTCAAAAAATCGTAACGAATGAAACATACATTTTTTAAAAATGGTACACCATTTTTTTAAACATTGTTCATAAATCCTTTTAAAATTATTTATTATTATTACCTAAAAGTTTTTCACATATTTTATTTTTTAAATAAATACTATTTGATATTAGCGTTATTCGAAGATAACGTAAAAGATGTATGCAACGGAATTTGAATTAGATATTACAGGGTGTTCATAATAAACGAATATATTTGGATGACATACTTTGTTAGTTGTTCTGAAAAATCTGACAAAAATCTACAACCTTTATCAAGTATATACCTATTTTTATTATTTAATTACTTTGGGATTTATTTTAACTTTTCCAACATTTGCTCTTCTTTATGTTTAACACTACTGCTGTAACATTAGTTGACCATGACAAAATGACATTGTCAAATTTTGACCTACAAAATGAGAAAATAAATTCATCAAATTTATTGTGGTCAGCAAATTTAAATAGAAAAATCAAGTTTGGATTTTTCTAAAGCTGAATTGATTAATATGATTTATATACTGCGTCGAAAAAAATACTTTATTGGCAGTAAGACTTTACAAGGCAAAGTACCCTAATAGACCAACTAGATAATCTCTGTAGTGTTTGATGGAACGGTTTGAAGCTAGTGGTAGGGGTATATTTTTTTGGTTTGAAGGTGGTGAGCCATAACTCGGTAGAAATACAAGATGTATCGTTGTGTAAACAAGAACAAGTATTTCTATTTGATTCAGGTACCGTATGTGGTTATCGATAATCTCTACTTCGCCATTTCTATAAGGCTCTATAATATTTACATCAATTATTGCCTGTCGATCTTTGGGCAGTCTTTTACAATCTGTAAATTTTGCAACTAATCTGGCCACAATAGTATACTGTATAAAATAGTTCCCACAATTCCCACAATTGACGATAGAAATGTTTCCTATCACGGTAATACTTCATTTTACTACTCTTTTTATTTAAAATAGAAAATTATGGTAGCTTAGCGTAAATGTGGAAATGTCGCATATATCACCAATCTGTCTAGCCTAATTAGAAATGTCCCTATACTAAATTTGATAAATTTAGGTCTAATAATTCCTGAGATATAAGGCAGTTACGCAACTTTTGACTAACCCTGTATAAAACTTGCGCATACGCGATAGAAACGACTAGGAACTAAACGGTTTATACGTTATTTCACCGGAAGAGAAGTGAAGAAATAAGAGAAGTGTGTGTGAGAGTCAAGAGGTAGGAGAGGGATTGTAAAAGAGGAGAAGAAATACACTTCGACGACTGCAGCAGGTTTTCCGCACCAACTGCTCCTGATAATCGCAATAATTAGTCCTAACCTAAGAAAAAGCGAAAATTTGAAAGGCCGGCTGCATGGCAAACCATGCTCTCTGACTTGTTGCATATCGCTATTTAATTTTTCCGGAATACTAGTGAGGCAATCATTATAACGAGTATTTTTTCCATGAGTTCCCCAACCCCGAGATTCGTTCATTAAATTATATGACGTGATTTCGATTACACCCTGTATATTTACCTTTCGCTTACATCTGATGCAGCAAGAGGTGCACGCGGCCCTCACCTGCGCCATTTTGCAGTCGCACGGTTTCGGCGAGTCGCACGCGCAGCGTTTGGGCTTCGCGCACGTGCAGGCGCGCCTCTCTGCCGTCGCGCCTCCCGCACATGCCCGTTTCGGACCGCATTTACATCTTCGAGTCGGCGAGCCGCCTTCGCAGCACCTGCAAAATCGTTTTATCTAGCCATTTTCTTTCATCGAAACCGCTTAAATCGTAACTGAGCGCGCGGACGACCGGATTCGAGAACGGGACAGCAACGCGGACAGCCGGCGCTAGGGCGCAACGGCGGACAGGCGTAAGCGGGACACAATGGCGGCGACGACTGGGGACGAGCGGGACAACATGGCCGGCAACTGCGGCAGTTTTCAGAGTCAGCCGTCAGGCTGCGCAGTTGAATGGGGCGGGGGGCGGCGCTGCAGTCGCACGGAGGCGGCGACCTCGGGCGGCAGGAGCACTGAGTCTCGTTCGGGGGGCAGCACCTTCCCGAGGCCCTAAAGCTATTTTTTTTTTCGCAGAAACGATAAGGGAACCCCAACACTTTTCGAACTTATCTAGGATTACGCGTCATTAGTGCTGACGCCATACACACAAAACTTTTAGATGTAATTATTGATGTTTCCTTTTAGCGGTGTTTTCCCTTATATTTTAAAATCAGGTCTAGTTATGTACTAACACGTTAGTTAAAACATACAAGTTGTCCAAATAAATGCAAAAGTTGCCGCCAAGACTAAAAGAATTAATTTACATTAACATTATTTTTAAATATAGACTGTGATTCCGTAAATATGTGGGAAACCAATTTTTTTTTCGCCTTGTATTTAACATTATATATGTTTGACGCCATTTCCGACAGCTGTAATTTTATTATGCCAACAATTTTGTAAAGTTATCCTTGTCTTGAAGTTGGTTCGAGTCGTTTATACAGGGTGAATCAGGATGGAAAATATTAATTTTGTATTAACATGTAACGAATGCTTTTATCTGAAAGAATTATGCTTAATTCGTCTCTGTAGACTTTTCGCGTTCTTCTCAATTTCTTGTCATATTTTCCCACGGTTTGAAAATTTTCCGTAAGTTTAAGTATAGGGAAATAGGAGTACTTAAGGGAAATATAATATAGAGCATCTTCCACTTCATTTTCTCTAGAAAATTAATATTTTTCATTTCGACTTACCCTGTATAAACGATTCGAACTCACTTCGAGAGAAGTATAGAATTAAGGGCTACACTACTTTATAAAACTGTTGGCATAATAAAATTAAAACTGTTGCAAATGTCGGAAAAAATATAGTTTTAAACACGCGCATAACCATATATGACCATAAATCCGAAAACACTCGGTATAGCCCATAACAACCTTACATTGGGTGATTGAGCATAAGGGAGAGTATACAGGGTGTTCCCTTTAACGACATACTTATGAGTAAATAATTTTAAATTATTTCTTTTAATCTCACCTATAACATTTGTATATTAATATTTTTCTCTAAAACAAATAAACGAGAGATATTACTCTTACACAACATTTGGACACCCTGTATATTTAGTTCAATGCAAAATAGAAGAACATAATGTTATTTACCATATTAGTACTAAAATAATATTGTTTTGACTATTTTTTATGCTTAAAATCTATTTGTAACTTTTGTTGTTAAAGGATAATAAAACAAAACGGACCCACTATTTTCGTACTCAATTAAGGCAAAATGTTCGAGTTTAAATCTAAAGAGAAAAAGAAGAACCATATAGAGAAAAGACATTTTTTTTCAATTAAACGCCCACTGGTTAGTGACCTTTTAAATTTGGATCTGGAATGAACTTGCTAAGTTTCCTCAATTATCCTGTTGGCTTCTTCAGAGCCTAACTGAAACTGACTCTCATTCTACCCTGTACCTGCTTATATATTATTATATATTAGGGCGGAGCTAAACGAAGGGCATGAGCGTTGTCTGGAATGAATGATTCCCATATTGGTAAAAGGTAAACACCTGATCCGCGGTTAAGATTGTTTGGTAGTTAAGAGATTTTTATGGGTTTTTAAAATTACGTTGCATGAACGTGTGGCGAACTGCTTTTGGGTTTACTTGTTTACTTGTAGTCTTAAGTTGATATTTTTCGTCCAGTCTCTCCAATATATTCTCTTCTTGCATGGAATACTGAAAACTCCTGGTGTCTCAAACCAAATTTTGTTTTTGACGGATCCGACAAGTGGTAAATCTGATTATAACATTATATTCCTTAAGAACTTTTGCGATTATGTGATCAGTGATGTTTTGAACCTAAGGAACGACCGCAATGGCAAGGATTGCTTTCGGGTTCACTTCTTTCTTTCTTTGGGGGGTTGGAAGATTGAGCTACATCCTCAGGAACTCCATTGCCATAAAGTCAGACGTTACTGATCTCAGCGTAACGCTATGGCTGCGCATCACAGGTGACTTCTCATAGAAGCAATTGCAGTGTCAAGCAATAACATTGTTAGAGAGAAGAACAGATGTTAGGTGCGATAGTTTTAGGGGTCTGCAAACATATATGCTCTAACCGATTTTTTTTGTGACAAGGCATTAAAATTGAATGGCCCAATCTTAAGTCTGATTATATAGATTATTATTAACATCAAAGAATAGGAGATAATTATTAATTTCCGATTCAATGATAAAACGTATGTCAGGGCGTATAGAGCGTTACAGAGGGATTCTTGAACATTCGAACAAATAAAAAAGTATCATCAGGGTAGGGTTTCCATAGTTTTGCTTTTAATTGGAAGATGTGATGGTGATGAGAAGTTTTCTGCTAATGTTAATAACATTGAGAGATCCATGAATAGGGAATGTGGTAAAGAGAGACTTTATCGTGTGGGTAAAATGTTTTAATTGTTCAATGAAGTGAAAGGAATTAAGTACAAAAATTTCAGTTTTCGCTGTGACGAGATTGAATATAAGAAGCTAAATAGATATATTGTTGGAAGGATAAATTGGTACTGACTTCAGGTTGAAGGGGTAAGTGGTAAATGGCTTGTGAATGTTAGGGAGTCTGTAGAAACGAAGAGTTTCAGAGTCGTGAGAGGAAGAATATTTCTTAAGTTAGCGATAAGAGCACTCTGTGTTCATGACTACCGTAAGATTTCCTTTATCTGTTTTTAAAAATGCATTGTCGGGATTAGATTTTAGAGATTTTAGAGCTATGCGTTCAGGCTTTGGAATATTAGATTTAGAAGGTTTGGATTTTTAACGGATTTTTGTGGTTTCAAAACGAATTTCTAAAGCTGAGAGGTTGAGAGAAAAAACAGTTCCAAAATAGCGGCATTGTAGACTTTAATTTTATTTTTAATTATTGAAAATGTTTAAGATTGATAATCGAGCAACAAACATCCACATCTACAGAATCTAGTGACATTTCAAAAAAGGCTCATTCTATGGTTGAAACAGAATATTAAAATTAACTTTAAAATAAATTACCGCTCGTTCCTAATTAACTATTAGATATATTTTATATTATTATGTATGTAATAAATTATTATACAAATGTAGCCCTCAGCATATCATTTATTGCAACTCTTATTTTCATATAAAAATAGTAATTTTTAATCCTTTCATCAATTTAGAAACACATGTTTAAATGCTGTAAAAAAAACACAAATTATAACGTCACACTAATGAAGCGCATTAATGATTTGCTAGAGCAGTTTTTTAGCTGAAAAGTAAGAACCCAATAACGTGACCTCAGCGAGGAAATCCAGTGTACTAGCTCTGGCAAATCTGTTGAATCTGTGATATTTTTGCTTTGCTTGATATTTTCCTAGAGTTTCGAGCACTTCTCATTAATTAAACCATCTTTAAACAAAAAACAAATTAATATGGAAAAAATGTTAAGAAATTATTAAATAGCTATTTTAACTTTATTTGCAGATTGGTACATATAAGTATTATGAAATTAAAAAAAATTATAGCTGACATGATTCATTTGGATGTTTTTAAGTTTTCACTGTTAAGTTCGTTTGATGAATTACTATCGGAATTGGAAACGAAAAAAAAATATTTCAAAAAAAAATTCAAAAATAATTTTAAGCTCTGCTTCAAAAATTTATGGAATTTATAACGCACCCTTTTCCACATTCTGAAAAAACATTTTTAAGCGTATTAATTTTTTATTTTTTTATTTCTTTAATGGTAATTACGGTGGGACAAAAATCTTCCAAAAATGATTTTTCAAAACCCATTTAGAAATCTTAAATGTACGCAAAATTTTCCATTTTGTCGTATTTCATATTAAGTTTTAAAACCTAACACCCTAAATTTAGATAATGATACTTTGCTTTCATTTTTTTACTTACTACATCTGAGAAATCATCAGAGAATAGAATTTGGTTTATGAAAAACGCTGTTCAAATGTAGTTGTTTGAATTTTTAGGGGCAGGTTCGTAGTAATGGCAGCAGAATTCGTAAATTGTTGTTAATTGTATTCGAACTAGTCCTCCGCACCGATAAAAATATAAAAAAAATAATATTTTCTTTCCAATTTTTCTATTAATACCCTTGAAAGAAAGATCCGTTAGAAACAGAAATTAAATAATCATTAAAGTTAAAATGGAGGCCCAAAGAATCTCAACATCCGCTGGGTTAAGAACAATATTCCATTCCCCACGAATATAACCTCAAACTTTGGCCCTATGATCCTGGCAATCTCTGCCAGTAGTGGAAAATAAAAAAAAACCTCAAACCTTACTTGCGCGCTTTATCTCTCATATGTGACCTATTGTAGTAGTTGGCAACCTCGCGCGGTATAGGAAACACTAAGCAATAATCATTTTTTGTCGCTTCCTGCCTGCTTGGGATGCATATGCAAGACTGCGCGGCTCTAACGGCACCCTAAAAGAGCAGCGACCAATAAAAGGCGGTACCAAACGACCCTGCTATAGTTCACTTCGTTCTTTGTGGGATTAAAATTTTTCAGCAAATTCCCGCACTCTTCTAGACGCTTGTCGAACGATTTACTCGCGCAACTCGGCGAGGAAACCACCCTGGTGGGTTTCTTCAACGACGGCGCGGAAATCACTTCGAAAAGCTTCTCGATCACGCAGCTGTAGCAGATCTCGCAAAACAACTCGCCTTGGAAAATTTTCGCTGTGCTTTTATCGAGACGTTTGTTGCATTGGTCTGGACACGAAAAAATTTGGACTTTTTATGCGTAGATACTTCGGTCAAAATGAATTTTCTAATTTACAATGTCATGTAGACTGGATGTTATGGAAACTAAATCGTAAAAAGAAAGGGCTGCGCCCTCTAGTATCGAGTAGCCAAACCGCAATAAGAGCCCATTATTTTTTATTTAGACCTCTGTTGCCAATTTCTTCATATAACTAAGGCACCGAATAAAATCGCATTCATCTACTACTCGGCAGATGGCGGCCACCAGGTACAATAAATATTTATTTAAAAAAAATGTCCCACTGCGCTACATATGCGACTTTCGTCCCAGTTCTTTTCCGTTATCGATCAATTTGACGAAAATAAGATTAACTTTGACTTACGGCAGGTGAAACAGCACTTGTGCCACACTTTGTTGAGCGAAATGAACTCCTCGGTTTTATAAATTCCGCATCCACATCGAGCGCAGGACATAATTTGCAGCCCTCGGGAATTCTCTTGACAAGGGTGTTTTCACTGGAAATTTTGACGAGGCGAATAATGACGTTTCGCCTTTCAAATTCACCGCTCTGAAATTCGGCGTCAGAGCGACGCGACGCCTGGCGGTGAACCCGACAACCAGTCAGTTGACAGCGAAATTTGCCATAACCAAAAATGTTTATCGAAAAAGGTGCATAAATAAATAGGTTGTTTAGTAAATGTGCCGCGATTTTCGGTGTAATTTCGTCTCGGGTGCGTCGTGCGAGCGAATAGAAGGTAAGTTTTTAGGTTGGTTTTGTTTTAAAAACGGTCTAATCGTGGGTGTCCTATTCCGAGTCTAGCGTAGCTATTTTTAGTTCAAATTTAGCAACATTTCAGAAATTTCCCCTCACACGCTGTGATTTTGTTAAAATAAACGTCCCTTTCTGTTATTTGACTGGGACGCTTCTACCGTCGCAAGGCAAAAGACCTTTCCAAACGGGCTAAAAATTTTTGCAATTTTTTCGGCGTTGTTTACCGCGAACGTATTTATTTATCGCACGGACGGTTCCTTTCCGGGCACGCTAAGCCTCCCGATGCGAAATTCAAATGAGAGAGTGACTCACGCATCTGACCTTAAAAAAATTAGACAATTAGCGTGAAATGTCAGGGGTCTTGAAGCTTTTACAACGTGTCCCCCCCTTTTCAGGAATATCGAAGGACTGAAACGAAAATGGCTCGGCCGCGAACGCTGTCCCGTGGAAACGTGCTAGGTTTAAAAATTCGGAGATAATCGTCGCCTTAGCGAACATGTAACTAAAATACGTAACCCTACACCATAAGACTGTAACCGGAAGAGGAGCACCATTGGCGTCCCGCTCGACAAATAAATATAGATATATTTTTTAACGATGGCGCAAGAGGATAGGAAGAAGTTTTATTGCCGCGAGTGGGCCTTTCAAAAGTTACTGCACTGTCTGGACCAGAGGCCGGTCTCGAAGACGTGCGGGGCACTGTTGCTGGGCAGCTCGGGCTGTGGCAAAACCACCTTCTGTTCGGAGCTGTGCTGGCCGTCGCAGGGCCCGTCCGGCAGGCAGCAGAGGGCGCTGAACCGCCGATTGCTGTGCTACCATTTTTTGCAGGGGCACAACGAAAAGAGCCTGTCCCTGAGTGAATTCGTGCGCTCTCTGGTCACCCAAATCCTGAACCATTCTACGGAAAGCCACCGGGAGCGCAGTATGCGCAAGAAACTGATGCAGGATAAGTCGAAGCCTGTTTCGCCGGTACCTCAGGAAACGTTCGGTCCTGAGACCGCCGGGGACGTTAAAAAAGCGCGCGCGATTCCGAATCTGCCGGTGAATCCGCGTACCGTCATCGCCGACGCGTACCTGGAGAAGTTAAAATCGGATCCCGAAATTCAGCTCGCGTTGCGGGCGAAAAACATCGAGACCAACCCGGACGACTGTCTGAAACGCGCGCTCCTCTTTCCCCTTTTAGAAATCGATCCCCCCAAGACGTCCCTGTTCATAGTCATCGACTCCATCGACGAGCATTCGTTCATTTACTCCAACTCGACGCTTACGCGGTCCAAACCGAGAGAACGCGCGTCCCAGTCGCGCACGATAGCCGAACTGCTCGCCAACCACCACCACCTGTTCCCCCAGTGGCTCCTCCTCGTATGCACCGCCAAAAAACAGTCCAAAAGCATCGCGAAAATGTTCACCGGGTTTCGAAAGCTCAGCTTGGACGATCTGCGCAAGACGCAGGTGGTGCGGGACGTCCAGCAGTACATATTGGCCAGGTTGGACCAGGAGAACAGCCTGCGGCAGCACATAAGCCGGGACACTGCCGAGATGCTCAACCAGCTCCACATCAAGAGCAATGGGTGCTTCCTCTATCTCGAGAAGGTGCTGGACGGTGTAGCCGACAACTTCATAGTGTTGAGGGAGGTACGGGAGATACCGGGTACCCTCAACGGACTGTACTTGTGGCTGTGCCAGCGGCTGTTCAACCGACGTCAGTTCGCGAAGGTGCAGCCGCTGTTGAACGTCATTTTGGCGGCGAAATGCGCCCTGAGCGAAGCGTTACTATTCGACATCGTCAAGGTGAACTACCCGAAGATCACCGTCGAGGATTTCAAGAAGCGGTACCACTTGCTGAAGAGGATCGTCGTGATCACCAAGCACGGATCGATCCGGCTGTTTCACCACTCCTTCGCGGAGTGGCTCCTGGACATCAAACACTGCACCCAGAAGTATCTGTGCAACATTTTCCACGGGCACTGCATATTAGCCATGTAAGGAATGATGTATTTTAACTATTTTTTTTTATTATACATGTTAGAAAAAAAGTTTAATACAAAAATTGTAGGGCTTATATTTATTTTAAATTTCAAGCCGTCGAAGTTATTTAGTAAAAGAATGAAGCAAAAATTTGGTCCAACAAATTTGGCAAATGGAAAAAGTATTAAGTAAATCGAACAGGAAAAAATGGTAGAAAATATTTTCGAGTTTCTGAAATGGCCCACGAATTTGTTTAAAACTCTATTTCTACTATCTGTTATTTACATGGTTTAAATGAGTTGAAGTAGTATTTTAAGGGGGACGAGACAAAATTGTTGAAATGGACGATTTCGTTTAATTTTGTTTGCCCTATCTCTGCAAGGAAAGTAGAGGGAGGGATGTTAGAAACATTTTCTTAAATACACGTCCATATATGCACAAAGGCTTAACGCGTATTAATAAACTTGCAGTCGTTGCCAAGGACTTTTCCTAGGCTATCATTCTTGCTATTGGTTACCTTGCCACCAGGGAAAAAAACTGAATTTTCCGAAACACGAATCAGAATTGTGACTTGTTTTGGTGTCATTAAGGTCCCAACAACCTAACAAAAATCATATTTCAATATCCTTATCCTAATCTAAAATTTGATTAAAAGGACTTAACGCTCAAAAAAGAATCAAAACAAATACCTTTGGTTGGTATGAAACATACTGACATAACTAGATCTTGATATCTTTGCCCATTTTCAAATTATTATTATGAACAATTTTTTCATTAGCAATTAGGTTTAGTCAACTAACCAAAACAAATAAAGTGTTGATGACTAACCAATTTTATTAATTGTTGAATTATTTAATCAGTAAAATGTATATCGAAGTAATCAGTATATATTATTCTTCGTTTCTTATACATCGATTCTTTCATATTGGATTTCGGTGAGTTTTGGTTAGTTTTGGTTAGTTTAGGGCATCTTTGATGCAATAAGTATTAAACAAATTTCAACTAATTAAAGCGGAAAGCAAATATCAGATAACAGCATAAAACATGATTTTTCATAACAGCATAGAAATGTAATATTTCCGGCAAAGAAGTTTTGTTCATTTATATTTTATTATTATTATTACCTTATTACCTGGTTACACGGTTAAAAAACGCCCAGAAAAAATTGGAAAACTTATAATGCACCACTAGCTTATCTCAGGTACTAGAAAAGATTGTACAAAATGTTAAATATAAAAGTTGTATGTTATATTTTCATGTATAGAGTCGTTACGCCGTGATCGCTACCAACTTTTGTATTCTAAAAATATATGAATCAGTGATACGCTATATTATTTTATAATGTCTTCTTGAAACTAACATGTGCATGATAATTTTTATTAGTTATTCCTATTAAAACAAAGGTATTATCTGCATTTGAATCGAAACGGAAACCATTCAAATTACAACGACACAGATTATAAAATAAGCACCGCAAAATATTATTTTAAAAGTTTAAAATAACAAATTAAACACACCGTGGATTTAATATGAAGAAGTTGTTATTATAAAATGTACAACAAGTGAACAACTATAGCTATCTTAAGCTATTTCATTTGAACATTCTGACAATCATCCGACGCTTGTAGTTTTAATTTCAGTATAATCTAAGATTTATTTTTGTTTTCTTCTAAAACATACATATATTTATTACATAAATGTATCAGTCGATAAGTAAATTCATCCGTTTGTTAATTCCCCAGCAGAATCTTATCATCAAAGAAGGAATCGTAAATTTCTGAAGGTGATTTCGTGGTTCATTTGCCAAGCTGTAATCACTGAAATGTAAACTGAAAATTCTTATTGGACTGTGGCTTTGTTATAACGTTATATTTGCGTATCTATGAGTGCCTATAAATCCAAGTACATTTTTCCAAGCGTGACACCAAGGACGAGATTGAATTTACGGGAAGCGATAAAATCGATTGAGAAAGTGGACTAGTGGATTTTCCCTGAAAAGAAAGAGAAAAAAGCTTTTAAGGTGGCCTCATCTAATGGACAACGAAAAAAAGACAGTCCCTCATTTAATTTACTGCCACAACCTTCCACTACGCAATACGCTTACTTATTTCGGTCACCGAGTAAAAGACGCGCGACGTTCGTTGCAAGCGCACCGTGTACCTTGTCGACGGTGTCGACCAAAGTTCGCCTACCGCCAACCTACTGCGAGAATAAGGACTTTGCGTATACTATTTTAAGTCGCTGAACTTCTCTTTCAAAGGCCAATCTAAATCATTATTAATATACATGGTGCTCTATTTGAAATAAGTTTGTCATGGTGCTCATACACCTAATTTTTTATTTTTAACTGAGACAAGTTGCCAGAATATTTTGGAATTACTAGCACTTTTCTATTGACACCATCGTGGTGTTCTGTTGGGAAGTTGGGATAAAGCTATTGAGGTGCTGTTATCAAAAGTCATATTGCTGCATTTCAGAAAATAGCACCAGTTGGAGAATATAACTTGTACTAGGTGTCCAGAGAAGAATGCAAAGTGTTTTAACTCGATAACTATTTATCGTAGAGGTTTGCAGTGATAAATTTTATTGTGAATGCGGTCAAAACAAAATTGTGGAAAAATCTTGGATTATCAATATGGTCGCCAGGAGACGTAACAACCATCTTAAAAAATTCAAAATTACATTTTTATTGAAATGCTTCCAGTAAAAAAAATCTCTACAAATTTACATGTAATATGTGACTTCAAAAATAATAATGTAAAAATAAGTACTAAAGAAAATTTAGTTATAAAATTTTATTCGTCGTTATTACACCCGTCATTATTCTTATCTTTTTTTTTTCACGATTCAATGCTAAAAGTTTAATATATAATCATAGTAAATTACGCCAGTTTCCATGATAACAGTTATCATGGCTAATTTGATTTTTGAAACAATAGTTATACATCCAATATTAGATAAAATGCGCGATATTTCAAAATCTGTCAAAAATAACCCTAACAACTCTTATACATTTGAAATCGGGGGAAAACATGTAATCCATTGACGTATCCAAATACAGGGTCTTCAATTTAAAGAAAATGTCGACGTGTCAAAATTTGACTGATAAAATTTTTATTTTGTATTTTTGATTGTAAAGTGTATTTTCTAGATGCAAATGAATTATTGACGATTACATCATTTTCAGGTTCGTTGTGAATAGAAAAAGTTTTTCTAATACATTCGACTGCGTTCAGAGCTTTTTTAGCTGTTGGTGGATCTGCTACAACCTCGTCTTCTGCTTCTTCTTTATTATCGGCGACGTTCATTATATCTTGAACAATTTCATCATCTTCACAAAGTCCCAATCTTCCGTCTCCAATTCTTCATCCACATTAACGAAATTTCTCCGATCGTCTTCAGTAGCGATATCAATTAGGGTCGGCATATTTCCAACGTATTCATAAAGTGCGTCATTTTCAATGGTTGCTTGACGAGTTTTGACCCACGTTGGTAAAGGTAGATTTTCAGAATTTGAGAAACCAGCGTGAACAAAGCAAAGAGCTATTGTAGTCTGCCTAATGTGGTCTCAAGCTTCAGACATCCACAGGATAACATCTAATAAATTGGTTTGAACATCACCGCAACCACGTTCAATATCTTTAATAATTTTTCAAACTTGATTTTTTGTAAAATGATTTTTTAGGGTTGAGATAATACATTTATCTAAAGGCTGTGGTATTTTCTGGAAGAAACACTTGCTTTATTGCCTTTAAATTTTGCATATTATGATGTGCTTTTTAATTATGCAATACAAGCAGTAAACTTTAAATCGAGCAATCTTTTGTGCTATGTCACAGGAAAAGTCTTTATAATCTTAAAACAACCAATAACGATCAGTTTTAACTTTTCTGTCCCTGTCATACTTGCTGTTCGATTTTTTAGCCGTTGCATTTTTTACCTTTCATTCTCATACTCTTGTCCTTGATCATTTTGAGAAATATACTAGTTTCATCCGTATTGAATATGTCGCTATCTTGGTATCCTCTAATTTTAGGCCAAATATTTTTTAAGCATACAAAGAAACTTCGACAGTCTACTGTAATACTTCTGGATTCCTCCTGCATCGGTTTTTGTTGACTCGAATTTGCTAACGTTTCGCCAATCATTCTGTTGGCTTCTTCAGAGCTTGACTGAAACTGGTTCGCATTTTACTCTGTATCTCCTTATATGTTGTTTGAGGGGGGCGGAGCTAAATGAGGGGCATAAACTCCGTCTCGGATGACTGATTCCCATATTGGTGACAGGTAAAGAGTTGTGGTATCTGTTGTTAGGTTGTTTAGAGATTTCTATAGACTCGCGGATTTTTCGTTGGTAGAAAAATTGATAGCATGCAAGAATGTCCGGTTTCGTGATTGTGTTCGGCAACTCCTAATGAGTATATTTGTTTTAGTCTTAAGGCTCTTTCATGTTCTTTGAGCCTAGTTGATATTTTTCGTCGGGTCTCTCCATTGTATTCTGTTGAATTTTGTCTATGACGGATCGAAGATGTTGAGAGATTTTTGGACAAGTTGTAAATCTGGTTTTGACGTTATATTTCTTTAGAACTTTTGATATGTGCTCAGCGATATTTTGAATGTGAGGAAGAACAACAGTGGCAAGTGTGGTATTGCTTTCGGCTTCATTGCTCTTCTAAGGTTATGGTGAAGTGTATGTTGTGATGGAACGATTAATATCTTTAAGGTGGAAATTATTAGAGAGAAAAGCAGAGGTAAGGTGTTTTAATTCTGGGTTCAGTGACTCGGGCTGAGATAGTTTTACGGCTCTGTCAACAAGAGAGTTGATAATCGATGATTTTTAGGCCGGATGGTGATGTGACCATGCCTTAAGGTATATAAGAATATTTAAAAATGGGAGATTGTTATAAGTTTCTAATTCAATGGTAAAACGTATGTTAAGGTGCATAGAGTTTAAATGTCTAAGAAAGTCTATTGGGATTCTTAGAGACATTTAAGTAAAGTGAAGCCTGATCAATATTTTCGTAATTTAATTTTCTGATTTTCTTTGTCGTTATACAGGAACTACCGCTAGTTGAATAACTTTCGATTCTGTCTTGTGTTTTCCAAATTGTGGCAATCGTAGAGTGAGACGACACCTGATAAAAATGGGGGTCAAAACCGATTTGTACATTTACGGCTTAAGTGTTCAAATTTACGACTAGGGAAGCTGCTATGACTATGTTTTTCTTCACTATTCAAACGAATGATAATTTTCATCTTCTTTCACCGAACACTTTACGTTTCTTTTTTGAAAGTTATTCATTGCGTGTTTTAGTTTACAGCGCATTGATAATTTTAAGGTTCGGAGAATTACCTACGTCAATTGCCCACGATTAAAATCATGATTTAAATCAAACTACTATTTTTCAAAATCTTTTTTTATTACAATTACATCAAAAGTAAAATGTGAAACACAACTCTTTAAAAAAGCTAGACAAATAACATAATAATATACTTTAAGCTTCTGCATTTTCGTTCCTTATATCTGAGTGTACAAAATGAAGCAGTTTTATTATTGGTAGCTGTTTCGCAATTTCTGGCTCATCCTTTTATGATGTCCGCCACTGTATTCCATTTACGTTTTTTATTTCATCCGAAAACATATATCAATCATCATATATCATTCAACTTTATTACTAATGGTAAAAGTCCAGTGTTTCCATATAAATTATTAATTGTTTCGAAAGCCAGATTCTTTTCTTCGGGTGTTAACTCATATTTTTGCTTTGAGGGTTCAACATGTAGCGTATAAAATGATAAGGTGTGAGTACCTGCTTATATCGATCCTGAATTTTTTGTATTTTTGATAAAAGTAAATCTACCACATTCTCTGTACCACATACTTCTGTAAATAATCAGCAACGCTATTCCATCGCACATCACTTGGAAAGGATTAAAGCGTTGCCTCCTGCTTGACTGAATTTCGCCCTAGCTAAATGGTTATCGCGAAAATAATTTTGGACTAATTTTTCAAAGAAACTTTTATAGGCTACTATAATACTTTTTATAAAACTTCTGGATTCCTCCTACGTCGGTTTTTGCTGAATCGAAATTACTGACGTTTCGCCAATCATCCTGTTGGCTTCTTCAGAGCTTGACTGAAACTGGCTCGTATTTTACTCTCTACCTGCTTATATATTGTTTGAGGGAGCTAATGATAGGTATAATATATAAAGACCCGGTGTTGTCGAAACAATTGTCATGTCATAATATATAATTTCGTGAAAATCTGAACTTTTAGTTCTTATTTATTTTGATAAATGGATTTTCATCAAGTAAAAGCCACTTCAAGGTATAAACACTGTCTCGGATGACTGATGTCCAAATTGGTGACAGGTAGAGACCTGAGTCGCGGTTAAGATTGTTAGGTTGTTTATAGATTTCTATAGACTCTCGGATTTCTTGTTGGTAGAAGAACTGATTACATGCAAGAATTTTAGTTTTATCGAATAAGATTTTATGCCCGGTTTCATGAGTGTGTTCGGCAACAGCTGATGAGTTTATTTGTCTTAATCGTATCAATATCACCAGTCATCGCGAATATATTTATGGAAGCCTTTGAGAAGAAAGCTGTCGACACCTTTCATTTAAAACCAAAATTATGGAAACGCTACGTCGGTGATACTTTTGTTATTTAGCCTCATGGTCAAGAGACCCTAGTAGATTTTCTTAGACATTTAAACTCGATACATACATTTTACCATTGAGTCAACAGGATGATTGGCGAAACGTCAGAAATTTCGACTCAGCAAAAATAGACGCAGGAGCAATCCAGAAGTTTTATAAAAAGTGCTTTTGGACTACTTGTTCTTTGACGTCTGATATTTGTAAATCTTTGCACAGTAAATGGAAAATATGCCCAGAGCAGCCATATTTTATAACTTTTGAGTTCTTTTTCAGTTGTTATTGTTGCACATATAGCTGGCTTATTGTAGACGTTTGACCCCCCGTCAATATTCACACATTGTCCTGACAGAGAAGAAAAACATTTTCTCTTTTCATTTCACTTGAGAATTTTCAATGCATCGAAAGATCGAATTAGTAGCTAAAATTGCCTTTGCTATTTGTTTGTCAATCTTGTCTTTTTCAGCTGTTGATGTTCGCATTACGAATCTACTCAAATTAGGTTTATTATCAGTTTTTTTCTTTTTCTTTGTTTGGTCTTTGCGGAGATTTTCAAAGACTTGGCAAATCTGTCGTGAATGTCATGGAACTCGAGGCAGACGATGTAGTTACAAGATCTACAGAACGGTCATGCGACATTCGAGTTCCTAAAAAGAAAATAAAAACATAATTTAAAAATTTCTACCATTATTAATAAATGATAAACCAAATACGCGCCCAATTTTCTCTTAAAAAATTAGTAAAGGGTTTATTGCTTTTTATTAAATTTTTACAGTTAACTTTTTTTTAAATACGTTGAAAAAGTGTACATTCTTTCCTAAGATAAAGAAATTGTATGATATGAATACGAAATACTTTTCTGTGTATCATGTAAAATAAAAATAAAATTATAAACATAAAACAAAATATGCATGAATTAAAATTTTGGCAAAAACAGACGAAATGGACATTACGTTTTTTAAATATTAAATGCCTTAATTCTTTTAAAAAGGTTTTTGTGAATACCATACTTCTTACCTTTTATGAGATGGAAAGTTAAATAAAATTGAAATAAGTAATAATAAAACAAAATATTATTTACCACCTGTATTCGTTTCTTACTGCTTATTATCACAAACACGAAGGTGTGCTTTAAGTCTTTGAATCATGGTTTGAACTTCTTTCTTGCAGATTGTAGCTTTAAATGCAGATCTATTTGGATCTTTTGTTTTAATGTAAAATTGCCATATGCTAGTTTCTTTTCTTTCAGACATTTAATTGTTTTCAGCTAATGTTCTATTATTCACTAGTTCCACTTCTCTGACAAACCAACAACTAAATACGCGAGACGTAGTCGACAACGACAATTTATATAATCCATAAATATATTATTTACCTACCTGTATTTGTTTCTTACTGCTTATTATCACAAACACGATGGTGACTCATATTGAATCATCGTTTGAACTTCTTTCTTGCAGATTTTGTAAATCGCTTTAAATGCAGATTTAGTTGGATCTTTTGTTTCAATGTAAAATTGCCATATGCTATTTTCTTTTCTTCCAGGCATTTAATTGTTTTCAGCTAATGTCCTATTATCCACTTGTTCCACTTCTCTGAGACACCAACAACTAAATACGCGAGACGTATTCGACAACGACAATTTATAGACTGGGAAAAAACAGATCGAGACAGAATTTTTTTTGCAAAAAGCCCGTTTTGACGAATACTATATTGTTTATAATGACTTTAAAATGTTTTGTTTTATTACTATGACAAAAAAAATAGGAAATACATGTTCTTATCAAATTATAAAAAAATCATGATTTTTTTAATAAAAATCAAAATTTACCGAACACTGTAATGCCAAATTGTCGTTACATCCGATAGGAAGCAGATCAAAAGAGTCGCTATTTCCGATGTGGCAATAACCAAATACTTGTTAAACTTTATATGGAGATTCAAAATATATTATATATATTATATAGTATATTATATCTACACGTTAAACCCTAACAACTTTTGATTTTTTTTTCTTTCAAAAAATATAATACGAAATAGTTAAAGGGGAGTAACATTCATAATGGATCACCAGGTATTACACGTTGCACGCGAAAGCGCTAAACAACCGGGAGATCTACGATTACGCTTTCCATTTGACGCGCATGGAGCAGTACCTCAACGAGAAGCCCAAAAGTCAGAGGTGTCCTACGACGACGACGTCAAAACTAAAGGGAGACGCCTCGCAGAGCTCGCTGGAGAAGACAGCGACGGAAGCGTACGCTGACCTGAAGGCGCTCCAAGCGCTGACGAAAAACTACGAGCGCGAGCTGGCGATGGAGATCGAGAATCTGCGCACCCTAGACGACGACCCGGACGTCGGTCTCAATAATTTGGACTCGAGTTTTGAGGGAAAAATCGAGAACGTCGAGAGCCCCGGTTCTGACAAGAACGCCATCTACGCGGAAGTGAACAAACTGAAGAAAACCTCTAACCAAATACGCAAGAATATCGAGTGCCCGATGGTGACGAGCTGCGAGAACAACCTCCTGGTGTCGGAGTACACGAACACGGCGTCGTCGGTTACTTCTTGCACGATGCCGACGAGCTGCGAAGCCGGTACTAGCCAGCAGTTGGACGTGCACACGCTCACGGTGCTATGGTTGATCGACAGCGGCTGCGGCGTAGAGGAGTGTCTGCTGGAGGGTAACGAGATGGCGGGTGTGAATTTCGGCGCGTTCCTGCCCACCGATCAGAAGGTGCTGAAGCTGCTGCTCGAAGCGGGGGCGGTGGAACAACAGGACGCTGATGGCGGCGAGTACGAAAGTCAGGTAACGTCATTTTTGTTTATTTAGAAAACAACAAACATTGTGCGCCTTCTACTTCTTCCTCTCCGGTATTTTGAGTGTCAATAATAAAGAGGACGATTTTTGAGTCAATTAAAAAAAAATCGTATACATTTTGCTCAAGACCATTATTTATTGTAAAGTCTATTTATAGATATAAGGATATTAAGAGCACATTTAAATGGTGTACAGAAAATCAACCTTATTTTAATCTAAAAATACAATACTGTTACTATATTATCAAATAAACATAATCCAATTATACAGGGTGTGCAAATAGTGTGTCAAACAAATATATATCATTTAATTTTTTTTTTTTAGAAAAATATTATGATTTGCGATGGCATAGTCGGCCATAAAACCAGTCATTGCCTCAAAATTTTAAAGTCTGTTCATAGATATAAGAAAGTGACTAACTGAAACGAATTAAGGAAAGACCCGGACAAGCTGTAAGAATGAAATATGGCCGAACAGGTCCGTACTTTGCTTAGAATTTAATTATTTGGGGTTTTGTTAGGAAAGATACTAAACAATATTTATTTATTTATGTTTATATTTAAAATAAAATTACAAATTATTTTTATTACCTAGTTAAATTACTTAAAATTATTCACATAATACATCAGTATCACTTATTATTATTATTATTATTATTATTATTATTGTTCTGCTTTTTCTATATGTTTAACAGAATTTGCCCAACTTTGTGCAGGGATGTTAAAAACTTCGGTTTCTATAAGTTTGAGGACATTGGAGTTAACACGGGGAAAAACGACGAATGGCAAATTTCAGTTGGTGCCAAACATGTTCAATGGGATTAAATATACAGTGGTAAGGTGGGAGCCTTAACACTGTATGCCCTAGATTTTTTGCATAATTATCACAGACGTATTCATTTTGTATGTTGAAGCTTTGTAGAACCTCAACTAATTGGTTTTTGGTATAATCTTCGTGAAAATAAATGTCGTTATTATACATGCAGTTTTGGATTGTTGCTTTTGTGTCACATGAGGAAGGGGTTTTAGTCAACTGTCTACTGTGACAACTTGCATTGTCCATTACAATTACGCTATTAGGAGGAATGTTTGGAACTAGTTTGTTTTTAAACCAACTTTCAAATAAATCAGCGGTGGTGTCTTCATGGTAATCCGGAGAACAATCTTTAATATTTACTGCCACATTTAACACCGGTTTAATCTTTTTCCAGTCTCCTAATTAAGATTCCTCGTATAACTAGTAAATTTTACGCCATATTATATCTTGATCACTTTCATCTACATTCGAGAAAATAGCAGCATCGCTTCTTTTGTTCCTCGCTAAAATGGGATTATTCACAATTTTCCATGCTACAGTTGATGTTTGAATTTTCGTCAATGTGGCCGTTTCTTCTAAAGATGCTTACTTGCTCGCACTACATTCAATGAGAGTCAAATAAACATTGTTTATAACTTCCTTAGTCTCAATAGAATAGTGTTTTCTACATTTGGGCGGCAGCATCTCCTGAGATACACTAGACTCGCACATATTTTGCATAATTCGCACACAATTCAACACTCGTTGTGTTACACACGAAATAAGAATGATTACTGATAAATTTAAACTAAGTAGTATACCAAACCAAAGAATATTAAACACAGGTAGGTATAAAATTATTTTCTATTACGGACCACACTTTTACCTGGATTTAAATTCCGAAACTTTTGGTAATAATCTTGTTGCATTGTATATTAATGACCACCCTTGGATAATCCCATTCAAAAGCAATTGGTCACTTCCTTATATCTATGAACAGATCATACCACAATTTTTTAAGAATACGCCTGCCTATTTTGCATTTCTGCATGCAGAGAATTATCATTATTATTTCTTACATAAGTAATTATCTATCTGTTTTTTTTTAAATACTTTATAATAATTTCTTATCATTCTGTTGTCAAGGCGGTTGTTTGACAGTTTTTAAATTCGTTTCTTCGCGTCTTATTTATTAATTTGGTGTTTAGAATAGCCGAGCATTGTTATTTAAAAAAAGAATGATCGACTTTACTAATGAGGAGTTGGCAGATATGCATTGCCAATGGCAGTGCGCCGAAAGCTAGGAGATTATATCAAAATCGCAACCATACCAGATAGCTGAACATTTTCAAACGTCCATAGAAGATTGACTGAAACAGGTACTTTGAGGGCAAATAATCATTTAAATCTGTAAGAACTGTAAGAACTCCAGAACTTGAAGGAGCAGTTTTAAATTCTACTGATGAAAATTCTGAACTTAGTACTACAAAAATTGTAAATAATCTGAATATTTCGCCCGTCGTGGTTTGTGGAAAGTTTTGCACGATTTTGGACAAAATTGCTCATTATCCCTTATTTGACCAAGAAATACTCATCATCATCATCATCATCCTCAGCTATCCATCCATCGTCGGACGTACGCCTCCCCTAAGCATTGCCACTCCTTTCTATCCTGCGCATGCCACATCCAATTGTCTCCCACCAGTCTCTTTATATCATCTGTCCACCTAGTCTGGGGGCGTCCTCTGCTCCTCTTACTGCTCCATGGTCTCCACTCCATCACTCTGCGTGTCCAACGATCATCTTTGCTCCTGGCTATATGTCCTGCCCAGCTCCATCGCAGTCTACATAATCTCTCTATGACATCTGTCACTTTTGATCTTTCCCGGATTATATTATTGTTTATTCGGTCCCGGAGGGTTACACCTATCATCCTCCTTTCCATAGCTCGTTGTGTTGTTTGTAGCTTGCAAATGATTTCTTTATTAATTGCCCATGTTTCTGTACCGTATGTTAGTGTTGGAAGTACATATTGATCGAAGATTTGCGCTTTGAGGGTGTTTGGGAGGCCTGAACAAAAAACCTCTCTGAGTCTTCCAAAGGCTGTCCATGCCAACGATATCCTTCGCGGTAGTTCTGCTTTTAAGTTGTTTTTTGAAACTTCTATTTTCTGACCTAGATAAACATAGGATTCTGTGTGTTCTATTTTTTTGTTATCTATTTCGATTCTCGTTTCTTGTGTGATATTATCGTTCGTCATATATTTGGTTTTTCCTATATTCATCTTGAGGCCTATCTTTTTAGAGTTTTGATCTAGTTCCAATAGCATGTCTTGCAAATCTTGTTGATTATCCGCGAAGAGAACAATATCGTCAGCAAACCGTAGGTGACTTAAGTATTCTCCATTTATTTTAATGCCCTTAGTTTCCCATCCGATATTCTTGAACATATCCTCCAACGCAAGCGTGAACAGCTTCGGTGAGATGGACTCTCCTTGTCTAACTCCTCTGCCTATATCAATCTTATCTGTGAAATCTTTCAACATAACTTGGAGGGTTGCGTTGCTATATATATTTTGGATTAAGGTTGTGCATCGATAGTCGACTCTGCTGTTGCTTAATGCCTTCAATACAGCCCATATCTCTACAGAGTCAAAAGCTTTTTCATAGTCAATAAAAGCGACCCAGATTGGGATATTGTATTCATTTGTCTTTTCTATAACTGTTCTTACTACTTGCAGATGATCTAGTGTGCTGAAACCTCTTCTAAATCCGGCTTGCTCTTTAGGCTGGTAACTGTCAAGTTTGTTGGTCAATCTTTCTGTTATTATTTTTATAAATACTTTATACATGACAGACAACAGGCTGATTGGTCTGTAATTGCTTAATTTAGTTTTATCGCCTTTTTTGAAGAGCAAAACTACTAGGGCGTTCTTCCAGTCTGCGGGGACGTCGCACTCCAGCAGGCATTTATTGTATAATATTTTTAAAATGTCCAGAACTATTTCTCCTCCATAGATCAGCATTTCCAATACTATACCATCCCCTCCCGCTGTTCTTCCTTTTGGCATTTTGGACATGGTTCTCTCAATTTCCTCACTTGTTATGTCTGGGATTTCTTCTGAGCCTACATTCATTACCTTCTGTCGTTCTTTAGAAGATGTTTCTAGTGGTGGTTTGGCTTTGCTTTCGTATAGCGATCGATAAAATGCCTCAGTTAATTCTTTTAATTCTTCCATCCTGGTACATTCGATGTTGTTCTCATTTACAAGCTTTGTGATGTGGGTCCTGTTCTTAAATTCCCTTTGCAGTACTTTCAAACTTTTTCTCTCCTCTAGCGTCTGTCTAACTTGCTGGTTCTTATAATTCCTTGTTTCGAGTCGGATTTTCTTTCTTATTGTCTTGTTTAGTTCCGTGACTTCTATATGATTCAATGTAATATCTTGGTTTATCGTCTTGCGTTTTTTGATTAGATCCAGAGTTTGTTGGCAAAGCTGAAGTTTTTTCTTTTTCTTATTTCCTGCCACGTTATGTGCTATTTCTTGGATTTGCTTTGAGATCTCGTTGTTTAGCATATTAATAGACTGGGTGTGTAGCATATTTCGATCGATACAATTTTCTAGTTGACGTTGGTATTGCTCCTGTTTTACTCTGAGTTCCTCTGTGTTGATACCTTTGGGTCCCTTTGAGATCAATTTGTATCGTTCTATTTTTGTATCGAAGTATATCTTAGATCTGACCATACGGTGGTCACTTCCCATTTTAACGGAGTTTACTACACTTGTATCTAGTACTATGTTTTTGTTGTTACTTATTAAGAAGTCTATTTCGTTTTTGATTAATCCGTTTGGGCTTTTCCAAGTCCACCGCCGGCTTTCTTTCTTCTTAAAGTAGGTGTTCATGATATGGAGGTTGTTTTCTTTAACGTAATTCAGTAGAAGTTTTCCTCTTTCATTACGTGTTCCCGATCCGAATGCTCCTACTCCTTTTTCTTGTGGGTCTGATCTTATTCCAATTTTTGCATTGAAGTCACCCATCATAAGAACATAGTGAGCCGTGTTGTTATTCAAAACCTGATTGATTTCCTCGTAGAATTCTTCTACTTCCTCATCTTCATGTTCTGTTGTCGGGGCGTATACTTGTATTATTTTACATGTGTATCTTTTGTTTACTCTTAGATCTATCGATATCACC